GGGGGGGTGGGGGGGTGGTGAGGGGGGTGTGTGTCACTCCTTTTTTGCACACAAATGAAAATGCAACCTCAATGCTTCCTATTAGCTTACTCTTACCTCTTCTAAAATACAGAGTGATGAACTCACTTGATCTGTAGTATCTACCAACCATGCAGAAATAGCAAGGGACCTAGTCTCTCTTTCAAATTTAACATCAAATTTTTAATTAAAATACTGGTAAATTGTTAAACTGATTCAGATTGGAGACAGACTTGGTATGCAGCCATCGGCATATCTTCCAACAGCTGTCCAGACACAGAATTAATTTTTAAGTAGCTTCTTACTTACTTGGAATAAAAAGAGCATGCAGAAGGTCCTTTAAACATGATCACTCTGAACCTAAAATTTTCTTCAGGTGTACTAGGAAAGAAATGTACTTTATCATACAGCTGTCCCAGTGTCATATGCTACATCTACTCTATACATAGTTTGTTTTCTAGACTTGAAAGAGTCTATATTAGAAGTTAAACAGCAAATAGCTTATTGGGAGAAAAACCAAACAAGATCCACAGAACAGATCACATATGAAAAATCAAGGACACACTGAGTTTTATCAATGATACAAAAAAAAGCATGTCCTGGGGCTTGTAATTGCATGAAGACATCACTATGGCAAGCTTACCTTTTCTCACTGTACCTTTACATATTAGTGGATAGAACTGCATTATTAATGAAGAAACATTTTTCTTCATCTAGCTATTTGGGGGTGGGGGGTGGGTAATGCCCACTTGGGAAGTTCTTTGATTCTTAATGAATGCAGAATATGGCTATTCTCTTTGGAATGGAAATTAGATGGACCAAATTAAACCCTCCCACAGGAAGCAGTTGCCCCTCTTATGCATTATTTACATTATCTATACTGAAGCTTTATGATATTGTAAAGTTGGAAATACAAAGAAAATTTTGAAAACTTAGTCTAGATAAATATTTCACTATGAGCTGTAGCAAATCCTGTTTGTATAACAGGTTTTTGTACAGTGCAGTTAATATGTTACTATTTTGCTTTCAGAAAAGACCTCCTGGAAAATTGTTTAATGTATAAATAAAAGCACTTGTACACTGCGCGTATATTCAGTATTTTATATTACCATGAAAACGTGTTTGCAACAAATCTAAATATGCACAAATAAACTTAATGAATTTATTTCAGTCATAAGAAACAGGTTGTGAACATTTCATTTGTGACTGACTTGAACAGTTACTATAATGTAAACACCACTAACAGAATACAAAACATATGTATCTGTGCCAAAAACACTAAGAAAAAAAAATATATTTAGTACACTCATAACACCAAGGGAATAAATGTAAAAGCACAGGATTACACAGGGCACCACTCACTGGCTTGAAGCACACAGAACAGACTCACAAAATTAGGCATTTTCAGAAGATCCTATGCACACAGCAATCTCCATGTATCACACTGACCTCCATCTTTCAAGTAGAACAGGAAGTTATACCCATACCTACACCCTCTAAATTCACCAGCTGAGGAATTCAAAAATCTAACATCTAGTTACAAAATCTGGGTAATAAAGCTGACAACTGCTATCCATTGAGGCCCGAATTTTCACAAAATATTTTGATCAAAAGTGCTGTTTAAATATCTAACTTTAAGCCAGACACTTCCATTGCTTGAACCATTTTATTTTAGAGAATTTAAAGTGAATCATGGAATGGGTTTACCATGCAAGACCTATTCAGAGAGTGATTTTATTGATCCAGATAAATAGCCACTGAAAGCTTTTGAGACAAGCAGAGCTCTTAAAAATAAATAAAACGACCAAAACCCACAAAAACGCACACACACACACAAAAAAAAACAAAACAGAAGACCACACCCACAGATCTCCTTGAGGAAAAGCCATAGATGGGATTAAAATTCAAATAGTATTATCTGAGCTTGCCTCAAACAAACAAACAAAAAACCACTGTATTGCAACAAGCTGGAGCTGTACGAAAGTTTTAGCTAGAACATTTTGTCTTTTTAATGGAATACACTTACCTATTTTCTCCAAACCAGCAGAATTTTTCCGAGTATGCTGTCTAAGACAGTATGCCACTACTAATGAAAAAACATATAGAGCATTTAGGCTATTAGTTGTTTCATTTGTGCAAGCAAGCTACTCATTTATAAGACACAATTTAAAAGCTTATGATCATAAGCTTTTCCTTTTTCATTAAGCTCTTGAGTTTAACATAATTTACTTGTCTGGAATTATGCACGTACAGACAAAAAAAGTCATGCTTTAAATACAGTAAAACGCAAAAAAAAAAAATACTTATTGCTGTGAATCGTGCACTTAAATTTTGAAGTATTCATTCAGAGAGCCTTGCCTTATCAAGCAGAAAGGCTAAAAACTCTACAATAGCTTTCATTCACAGTTCTTCCAAACATGAACTTTGGCAGGTTGGTGATCCTCTTTTCCTCCAGCAGTTCAGCTCTCAGAATGCCATGGTGTGCTGCAAGAACTAGAAGAGGAAGTAATAGGCAAGTCAGTGTTTAGAGATTTTGGAACTGTGACAAGTACAATTACACTAACCATCAGTGAGACTCAAATGGAATGGCCTACTTCCATCCTGACAGATGGAGGGACCCACAAGTTTAAATATTAGAAATAACATCTACTAGATGAAAAGCATTCACAAAATTGTATGAAGAGATAGTCAAGGCTGTTTCTGCTTTCAGATTTTTAGCAACAAAATTGATTCCTCAATCTCATTTCATAGTATTAGTTAGAGCATATCCCAGCATTATTTAGTCAGCTGAACGGTTTACATCTTACTACCTACATTCTATCCGTAACTCCCACAGTCTACTGTGGTGATCCACCAACGATTTCCTATAGCAGCAAAGTAGTTACACTGCGCACAAGCAGGACTGTTCACAGTAATAATCTAAAGCAGAATGTAAGAGAACATCAATAAAGAATTATGCTTTCAATATTAAGATGAAAATTGAATAATGTGTTAACACTAAGATAAATTATTTTTACAGATATTTTGATGATTTTGTTACAGTTACATGCTTTAAGTTAAACACATCTTCGGGAATAATGAACATACCTTTATCTTAATTTTCCTTTTGAGAAACTGGGAATGTTTAATGGAAGCTCTGATATCTAATGCTTATACTGCTGGTGGTAAACTCACCATGAACAAAGCCACTCTGTAAAACAGAAAAGTGCAAAACATGCATAGCAAATAAAGCAGTTATACAAATAATACACCTCCATAACCAGTATCTACACTACATCATAAATGTTCAAACAAAACTAATATTAAAAGTTATCAGTTTAATAGAATTTAAAATTCAAGTTTCTCATAATCACCAGCAGGTTCAAAGTGATACTATGATTTCAGTGAAGTCCTAATATGTACAAGGATATATCCTACATGGCTATCATAACTGCAAATCTTTACTCTGAATGCTGAAACAGTAATTAAAAAAAAAAAAAAAATCACAACTTTGTAATTGGTATTATTTGTAATACCAATTCAGAAACAACAGTGACCATGAATTCATTTTTTTGAATCCAATTTTAAAAAGAAACAAAAGAACATTCAAATAGCCTGATATTAAAACCACCTTCTTTTTTTTTTCCAGTCTGTCTACTACAGAACTAACCAATACATTAACCTACTATCTTGGAGTAGCCTCCTTAACATCATCATTTAATTTTGAAGGGTGACAGAATTACATTAAGCATAAAAGCCCCATCTTCTCGACTCCGCACCTCAGAAGGCAAGGCAGTGGTGATAACCTCTCTTTAACACAGAGCTATACCTGCCTGGCTGCCATAGCAAAACCGTCAGTACCTTACAATAACAGGTTCCACTGATTCCAGACTGCATTAGGTATCTCTGCAGTTTTTTGGCATCTACTTCTCCATCCTGTAAAACAAACGCACACATTTGTCACAGCCGACAATTCATATTTAACTTGCAAGAAATATCAGTGATTTTTAATGCATTTGATTGCCTATAGTGATACCTAAAATGTTCCTACGTTGTTAAATAGTCACTATAAGACAGGAACACCTGATCTAAACTGGAAGCAGTAAGCAGAATTCTCTGCTTAAAGCATATCAATGGCAGTGGGCAGGTAAACAGGTAATTCAACATCCACTAAACATATTCAAAACCACTATCAAAGTTACAGCATTTTCAAATGTAGAATTTACATGTGAAGACAATCAGCAAGCTGATTAAAATTATGACACCTTTGTTTTCAATACTTAGTATCCAAAATATTAGCATTTCAACTTCAAAATAACTAATAGATGCTTTTCCTTTTACTCATCAAATCTCCTCGTTATTCACCTAGTGCAGGAATGTGAAACAGAAATAGAAGCACTGAGGTTCAGAGCCTATGCGATTTAAAATATAAAGAGAAAAAAGAAACCCCTCTAATCTGAAAAAAAGGTCACTCACCTGTAACTGGAGATCTTACAATACATTGCTTCTGCCGATCTATGTTCTTGAGAAGGTGCACCTTGTGTCAGCACCACAAAAGCCAGAACCATCTCAACCTGTGGGGCTGCACACGTGACCTTCCATTGGTCTTTTTCCCCGTACTGAACTACTGAATTCCCCGACTATTACTCCTTTTAACAAGTGACACTGCAGCAGTCATATTACCATCTGTAAGTCATATGTATGTTAAGAGAGACTCTTGGAATACAACTATAGCTATCCCTCTCTAATAACAACATTATAAAAATATTTACAGTATTTAATACTTTCTTTTTTAAAAACACCATGTAACTTTTCAAAGCCAGCAGATTCCATACATAGATCACAACATTTATGAGCCCACCCTCCACCTCAAAAATTGTACCATCTTAAAGAACATAAATGTCAGACTTAGGACCTCATGTCAGACACAATACCTTGCAAAACACACATCAACAATTCTGGAGACTCCAGTTCCTTGAGATGCTAACCTGGGAAGTTATGTGTCTGCATTATATTTTACTAACCAAGTTCCATATTCAATACAGAACAAAGTTAATCGCAACCCTAGTCTCCAAAGTTTCACAACTGGCTTTTAAGGTTCTGTTATCTGCATACAAAATAATAGCACTGACATGTAGAATAAGGTACAGCAAATCTAAAGATGAAACACTATTTCAAGATGGCAGTGAGAATCTGAACATCAACTGCCAACATTTTCTGATTAATTTTATCTTATTAAACAGCAACATGACTAATTACAATTATTGTTGAAAACTATGTATTTTACCTGAAGAAGAATGGTTATCAGTGGGAACATTATGCTAAGGTATTTCTACTGAAGAAAAAAAAAAAAAAAAAAGCATGAAACAAAACTTTACTAGGGTTGCTTTCACAGCTGGTTATATAGTTATGCTGTTTATATTATCTCATCTGTCCAGCAATAGCACTGAAATAAATCAACATGGGGTCAGCAGCAGCAGAGTAAGTACCAGCACATGAAGAACATTCAGAGCATGCACCATAAGGCATACTTGGTACTGCTCCTGGCATTGGCTGTCCCACTGCCACTGGCATTCCAGGCATCTATAACTGCAATACTCTGGGAGGAAAAAAAAACCACCACACCACCGGTAACTTCACCTTGATAGCCTGAAATACTTCAACTTTACAATGAAAGTGTATATTATGCATGATTAAGAAATACCTGTTGCAAAAAAATATTCCAGAAGATAATTTGAAAAATTTTCAAAAAATATTATTTTTGAACTAATTTAAAAAAAAAAAAAATCAATTTCAGACTCAGTCCTACAACTAGTTTTATTGATAAATGACCTCCATTTAAAGGTGTTTTGAAAACACTTTGTGACAAAACAGAACAGTGCAACTCCAGAAACAGTTCCACATGTCTTTGCATTACCAAGGAAGCTTCCCAATTAAAAAAAAAAAAACCAACCAAAAAACAGTTACTATTATATTGTTAGGTATTTGTTTTGCTTTGGGGTTGTAGGGGTGGAAGCAGTTTTGGTTTTAAACAGATACTGTACGGGCATTAGTGATACTGATTGCAGGATGCAGTAGTCATTATTCCAGATATAATAATAAATTTTGTTTAAAAATATATTGAGTTCTAATAATCTAATTTTCCCTGTGTTTGCTTTTAGATAATTCTTTCCTTTTGAGTGTTCTACTGTTTATTCTGTCACTTATTGATGCCAGCATTTCAAAATATTTTCTTTTTATGCAGATACCACAACAGGTGGCAGGGGTTCCCTTCTTCAGGTGGGGCCACATACAATTTTAAGTGGCTTCAAGTATCCAAGAACTAAAATTTTATGAGCAGCTTATACATTTTACTGTGCTGATATGTTGCCCTAAGTTGTAACAGCAAAGTGTAATTTACCAGTATTTAAACAGGGGAAGTTTTTCCCAAGCATTTAAGTGACTAAGAAAAATAAAATACAATCAGAAGTTTCCCATAAACAATAATGCAAGGCTTGTCATACCAATCACCTGAGAGTAACATCGGAGTTACAGCAACCAAGAAAGTGACAGAACACGAAACCCGAAACCCATGACCTTGTAAAAATAAACACTGCACTGGTCAGATCAGCAAGCCTTTGGGAAAACAGAGAGGCAAGGTTTTTGTCTCAGGTTGCCAGTGCTACTCTTTAGCGCAGCTGCAAATGGCTCCTGCAGATCACATATAAACAACTATCTTTTTTTATATTCCAGAAGCAGACTCAGATCTGTAGACTTGAAAAAAGCAAAGCCCAACAAACCATCACTGCCACTAGTATAATTTGCACCAGTTTTGTAACAAGCGATTTTCAGCTATAGCATTGTAAAGCAATTTCAAATGAACATAAGAGATTTTAGGACCCCCAAATACACAGTTAACAATATTTAAAGATTTAATTTTAACTAACAGTGACACAGGAGAATCACACAAAGGTCCAGGTTGTGTAAGCAGCATGGAAGCTACTGAACAGCAGTGTTGTGAGAGCTAAGCAACAAGCCTCTGTAGTGACCATTTTTACACCAAGTAGCTATAACAATTTAGAAACATATTTTCATCTCTTATCCAGCAACTAAAAGTACTTGAGCAGCTTTCCTTTTGCTCAAGGACAGATAATGCAAATAGCAACCAATGCTTACTGTTTCTTTGTGTTGTAGTTGCATGCTTTCACATTTTCTAACAACTACCACCAGTGCTTCCAGCTGTACAATCAGTCTGTCCTAGTTCGTTATTTCTCCACAAAAGGTAGCGTAGTGTCCATGACCAGTGTAGCCCCACCTCTGGGCAAAAGAAACAGCAGATATGATGCAACTTTTTTCGCGGAAGGGGAATGACCACCTCCAAGCTGCATTCGGGGCCCCGGGCAGTACGCCAGCAGTGACCCCGTCCCACCGGGGGGGTATTCAGCGCACGGCGCCTGCTCCACCCACCGGCCCAGGGCCCACGGACGG